CACGCATCTGGAATTCTCATAAATGAGGAATGCCGCTGCGACTATCGATTAAAAAATTGATAACAGTATCTGGGGACAGAATACTCTTTTTTAATGATAAGCAGCTTTGCACTAATCCACAATTAATTTAGTGCACAGATTTTTCTAGGACATTATCGTTGAAATGATAACGCGCAATCATCCAATGCTGAGACTATTCGTTATCCTTCATAAGTGAAAAATCTATATCGTTATCGGTTTAAAAAAATGTCCCATAGATGTTGAAACATCTGACAAAATTCCTGTAATAATTTCATCAAATGAACAACTTAATGTTGTAAGTTTTTCTAGAAATAATTTTTTGCACGTGATATGCAAAATTTAATAATTGATTTAATGACTGTAATAGATTTTTTACTTTTTTGAGTGCAAATTTTAAAGTATTGTTTATTCTTTCTATTTTTTGCAAGGTTCGATCATATTTCAAATAAATTTATTTAAAATATATATTTTAAATAAAGGAGAAATTAGAAAGTTATTTAGTATTTATAATTTTAAACAACTTCTTCTGACCTATTTCTTATTCGATATTTTAAATAAGTTATATAATTTTTAAAACTTATTTTATATTTTTTATTTCGAATAAGTCATCACTCTTTTATCGATTTGATATTTTAAATAATTGAACAATTTTCTGAAACCTATTTTTTATTTAAAATAAAAAAGCGAGCTATTTTGATATTTTAAATAAAAGTTATTATATATTTTAAATAAATAAAATGCATTCCAGAGTTCTATTTGACTATTTCTTATTTTATATTTTTAATAATTTCTTGCGTAAATTCTTTCTTATTTAATATTTTACATAAATTTTTGGAATCTATTTTATATTTATTATTTCGAACAAATTGTCACTCTTTTATAGACTTTTATGATTTTATATTTAAAATAAATTCTAGAATTTATTTTATATTTTTTATATTTTAAATAAGTCGTATCAGTTATTTTATCGAGCCTGATTTTTTGTAAATTTTGTCCAAGATCCAAGAAGATTGTCCAACGCATCAAGAGATTTTCGATTCTCCGTATGCGTAAGGATCGATGATATATCGCGATTATTACTTTCTAAATTCTTTGAAGTAGAATATATTTCACTCTAAAGAGTGAAAATCGAGTCAATCTTCAAAAAGAGTGGCTCAATATTTTCAATCTTTAAGACCGATATTTATAGTTCATTTTTATATTTAAGACTGTTTTAAATACAATCTTAAAATGTTATAAATCAATTGAGAAGCAGACTTTCAAAATGCGTTTTGTCCAAAGTTTGTAATTTATAAACAGAAAACGAAAAAGAAAAAACTCCGCACGCGAGAAAATTATGCACTTTACAGAAAATAATAATATGCCAATCAGTATGATGTGAAATATTAAACCAAATTGCTAAACAATTGCTAAATGTTAAACAAATGCATTTTGTTTGTCTCTAGTTAAAAACCATAATACACTTCGAAATGTCTATACCTTTTTAACATATAAATGAACGATGAAAAAATGCTTCCTAACATCTCAGTGTAGCTTATGAGTCTTTCAACACTGAACTTTCAACATTATGCCATCTCTAACCAAAGAATGAAATTTTAGACAAAATGCATTTTGAAAGTCCTCAATTAAAAAAACTGTGTTAATATCTCAAGATACAATGATTTTGAAATAAGAACTAACTATAGATACTGACTGAAAGTGAGATTTCTTCAAAATTCACTCTAAAAGTTTTAAAGAGTACTTATTAGAAGCCCGATTTCACATAAATGTAAGATTAATTTTAATCTTGGTTTAACTTATTATTGATAATTATCTATCGATATCTTTTTCTAATTCTTAGTTAAATCGAGATTATAAAGTTAATCTTATATTTGCGAAATCGCAATTAGATAATTAGGAAAAAGAGTGACGTAATTGCGATTAAACGCAAGTTCTAGATTAGAAGATTCTGCCTGTTAAATTAGTTATCAATTTCTCTCGCGATTGGCGTACGTGTCTATGTGCAACTATGCAGCCTCGATACCTCGAGAATGCGATATAGGTGCACGTGTGTACGTGTACGTACGCGTATGCATACTTTATCATTTCAGCAATGTTCACACACGATGCCGAGTGTGATGTCTAGCTGTCAGTTCGCCCGTCAACGCGAACGAAAAAAAAAATCGTTATAAAAAATATTATTCGCGATATCTTCCTTTAAAAAAAAAAAAAAAAAAAAAAAAAATCCGTCGAGTGAGAGCTCGCTTGCGAAAAATATGCGAATACGAAGGCGCGTTCACACGGAGCGGCGATTTGCGAAGCACGCGAGCTATGCGCGCGAACGTATACAGGATGTCTAGGAAGTCGCGCACTTTCTCTGCACGACAGGCGTTAGATATGCCAGATTGGCAACCGCGATATTACTATTCCTGTATGTTATCCACGCGTCAATAGTCTTTTCATTCGCGCCGTAAGCTAATTGCCAGCTAGGTTTCCATGAATTAAATTTTAAGAAAATTCGTGAGATAAGTGATAATATTTATAAGTCTATTTGCGCTTGAAATCTTCAAAAATGAAATAAATATATACTGAAATGTCGAAGAAAAAGAAAGATACTGAATGCAAAAACAAGAATCGAGAACTGACTTGATGACCGGTATATTCATAGTCGTTTTTTAAGGCTGTACAGACTTTCGCATAATAAAAAAATCAATCAATCAGAATCCTTTCTTTCCTTCTATTTCAAAAAAGGAACTTTCATTGATTGATTCTTTTATGCACTATTCGTTATACAAAAGTTTGTGCTGCGGTCTTTATATTGTCTTAAGTACAATTTTAAGATATCACCTGAATCAGAGGCTGGTATTCATAGTCGAGTCTTATTTCAAGATCGTCTTAAGTAATGTTTTAAGATACTAATGCAGCCTTCTGATTGATTCGTGACTTCTTAAGACATATTTAAAACGGTGTTGAATAAGATCTGACTATGAATACCGGCCAGAGAGCCGTATTTGCATCTTAAGACATTACTTGAAATCTTGTTAAAGTAAGAACCGATTATGTCTCATGTATAAGTAAATTTTACATCTTTCCTTGGTAAAACTATATGGTTCATTTCATTCGCGATCGAGGATATCGAATAACTAAATTGAATGCGAAACCGGCTGCTAACGGAATGTCAAACGACCTGTCGAAGCTTCGATGAAGAAAAATCCGCCGTTATCCGACGTAGAATCTATGGAGAAAGCGCGGCGTGCAGCTCGTGCGATACACCCCGTATACACGCATTCCCGCGGAATCGCGTATCCTCGCGGTCTCGTGCGCAGCGAGTACGGGAGGGGAGACATAGTCGTGATGCTCGAACGCATGCACACTTACGCCAATGTGCACGCGATTGCACGCGATCTTCTCTTGCGCGCGCGCTCTGACGTGCAAGACGTCGCGAAAGACAGAAGACATTGGTGGAACCAATGTAATGCATGGTCTACAATGGGCAGTAACAAATAGTTGATTAAGGAATAGGCGTAGAAATCGACCAATCATAGTTGAATGTGAGAAAAATAATCAACTATGATTGGTCGATTTCTACATTTACTCCTTAATCCATTACTGCTATTGCCCATTGTAGATCATAAGAGATGCATAAGAGATTAAGGAGGATATTTAAAAAAGGCCGATTTTTGCCCAAAAAAAGCAAATAGGAATAGTGCTTTTTTATACATTTTGAGGGATGTCACCCTCAAATCCTCATCCTAAAATAACTTTTCCCTGATTTCCAGACAAAATTTCATGATTTTTTTCTGACTTTCAATAATATTTTAAGATTTTTTTTATATTTTCGTCCTGATTTGGAAACTGTTAAATATTTTGTTGAGTAATTAATTTAACATAATGTATTTAGTGTTATTATTATTATTAATATTGCTGAGTGCTGACCTACTTACATTTAATGTTAAGTTGATAATATTCTAAAATTGTCGACTAATACAATGTGATGTACGTATATTAAATTTCTTTAAAGTTAAGAATTTTTATTTTTATTTTTATTTTACTTCTTTCCTTCATTTCCATATGATTGTTTTCAATTCTTTTCTCTAATTTCTAGTTTCAAGTAGCAACCTCTGGATTTTGACTCTCTGAATATAATAATATTAATGAAAAATTTGGAATTTAGGGAACATCTCGAAAAATTGAGTACAATAAAAATTGAATACAATATAGCGTATTCAATTAAATTTCAATATTCTTATTTTTTTGTTCTCCAAATGCCACAAACTTTTTAATAACTTTTTTAATAACTAACGTATATACAAGATCAAAATCTACAAAAAAAACATTCTTTTTATTTACACTTTTTTATAGATAGAAATCGGTCCCTCTTTAACGTCTTCCTTTAATCTCAACTCAATTTACTCTTTATCTTTTTCTAATTTTAAGAATTTAGATAAAGATAAACGGTAAATTAAATCAAGATTAAAGTTAATCTTATATAATAGAATTAGGTCTAAAAATTTTAGTCTTCGTTCAATTAGTCATCTTTTTCATCTTGTTCATCTTTTTCTAGTTCCAAAAGTTAAAAAAAGATGAAGAGCGAGTTGAACCGAGACTAAAATTAATTTGATTGACAGACACGAACGTTAGACACAGAAACATTAAAAACTGGACTCTTTTTGATGAGCCGTAAAACTTCATTAATTTAAAATTTGATATATTCTTATTTAAGAATTGCCATAGAAATATAATCTTCTAGAAATTTCATTCTATTAAATACCTACCTATTGCTTAATAAATAAAAGAATAATGTCACCTCCTTCTGGATCATGTTTCTTTGAAAAGTATAGACATACTCGTATATATTCTTTTCTTGTGATTCAGTTACGGTAACTCTAAACACGAGGGATCGGCGCGGCGACCTGTTGCCGAAAATTTATTTCATTTGATTATTTCTGATCATATTCATATAGAAAGAAAAGAAGAGTTCCTCTTTTTCTCTTACGTACCTATCTCGTGGATCGATCCACGTAGTCTTCCGCGTGTTGTGATCGATGAAGTACACCTTCCCGTCGAAGTCATGGGCGACATCCCAACCGTCCGGAAGCGGTATCTCCCCATTCCGTCTCCTGGGCATATTTCACTGCGCTCTAAATCCATCCAAAACCCCTCTCTCTCTCTCTCTATCGTCGTGCGGTGGCGGTCGACGGGCGCATATCTGTGCGCGCGGGCGCGAGCGCGGATGCGGGCGCACGCTTCTCCGGCCGCATATACGGCACGCGGGCACGCTCGCACGACGACGTCGGTCGCGACGTGACGGTGAGCGAATGGGACAGGTAAACGCGGAGCGTAAGATGGAGAGAGAAGAGGAGGGGTAAGGATAGAGAAGGAACGAGAGGACGGCCGACCCGGCCGTAGAAGGGCAGGTGAACGGGGAAGAGGGAAGGGAGGGGATCGAGCGAGACGGCGAACGGCGGCGGCTCCGCTACAGCGACGAGGACGGATGAAATGTATTGTACACACACTGAGGGAACACAGAAGCGTGATCAGGAGCGTACACTCGCATATGTGTACGCGCTTTTCTCTCTCTTTCTCTCTCTCTTTCTGTCTCTTTCTTTCTGACTCGCGCGCACTACTCCGCCATCATGAATACCTCATTATTATGAGCGGAGTGACGTCAGAGTCCCCGCCTTTCAGATTCCTCTCGAGCGGAATTCCACCGTTAACACAGCCAGCCGCCGAGGAGCAGCCCGAGGCGGCGAGCGACGGTGACGGCGACGGTGTCGTAGTGTTGCCCTCGCACGGGTGCATCGATCAGGTGCACTTGGCGTACCACCACCACCACCATCACCAATCACCGGCAACGATATTTCACCTTCTTCTTTATTTATTTTTTATGTATTTATTTATTTACTTTCTTCCCTCGTTCCTCTCTCGACACACTCACGACACACGAATCTCTTTTTCGTGCCGCGCCGCACAGTCTCCCGATTCTCGAATTTTGCGGCACGATCTTCCCGCTCGTTCCTTCAAAACTCTCTTTTAAACACAACAAAGGAAAATTAAGGAAAACAAACAAAACAGAACACCTTATGTCAAAATTTCCCGGACACTACTCGTGTTATCCGTCACACGAACGACGAATGAAATGACTGCGACGACGAAGACACGTTGTATCGTCACACGTTTTTCACCCCTCCGGATAGTATTGGAGCATCCTTCCTCCTATCCCTTCCCTTCGGAGTGACACCGACACCTTCAAGGTCCAACCGTTCGCAGTGTTCGCACTGAACGGCACGCGCTCGAGTCAGCAACTGGCGCGCTACACGCACCGGTAATCGACAATCGACAGTCGTAATCGTCCGATAACCTGACTGACGCGGGGATTCGCAACAGACTCGACAGCCGCGAACACTATAGCGACGTCGTGACTGCAACTGTGGATCTGCTGCTGTCTGTATTCTGTGGTCGGTGACGGCGACGACGACGACGACGAAGAAAACGGTGGCGGAGGCGGAACGGCCCGCGACCCGTTTCGAGCGACGCGCGTTCAGCGCCGGCTCCGTACACCACCGTACACCAGCGGTGAACCACGTTTCACCGTGTTCTCTTTTCCTCCTTGCATTAGCCGCCGCTGTAATGCTAATGCCGAGCAGCGGATCTTGACGTTTTTCGCACGCAGGAATGTGGGAACTCGACGTTGCCCTCGCTCTCGGCGCGTAAGAGAGAGGAATCTCCCTCTCTCTCTCTCTCTCTCTCTCTTTCTCTCTCTTTCTCTCTCTTTTACCGTTTTTTTGCCCTTTTTCTTTCCCTCTTGCAAGTCGTACTCTCGCGTTCCCGTTTGACTTGGCACTCGCGATCGACGACGACGATGGCGAGGATGATACCACGAACTGTCCGCTGCTATAATCTCCGGTCGGATCGGTGAAACAGAGACGAGTCTCTTACCTTTCGTATCTTCACAATCTGGGAATAACTTCTCGTTTTCTGCGCACGATATTCCCCAAGTTTTTCACGTTTCGTACACGGACAATTTTCTCGTTTCCGACGATATTACCACCTCACGTCACAGCTACGAGCATGCCGAGTGTTTGAGACATGCCACTGGACGTTCATGCCGTGCGCGCTGCCTGGCAATACCTCCTCTCTCTCTCTCTCTCTCTCTCTCTTACTCACTCACTCACTCACTCACTCATTCACTCACTCACTCACTCAGTCACTCGTCTTTCTCTTTCTCCCGCTCGCGTTCTATCTCTTCCCGCCTCCCTCTACTACCCTTTCATCCGTATTCATCGCAAAGAACATAGCTGTCTCCCACCAGCGTGTCGTGACGTGTTGTCTTAACTCGTCCAACTCGTGACGTCCGTCTTCGTCGCTCACTCGATCGTCCCTTCCACCCGCACCGATTTCTCGACCGCATAGCTATCCTCGTCGCTCTCGTACTGGTGCCAATTGTGCTGTCTCCTTTCAAACTCTGCCGGTAGTTCTTTCGTATGTGTCGGCTGATCACCATGCGCGCGCGCGCAAATATGTCTCGCATATTTGCCGCTACGTCGCAAAAATGGCACCACCATACAATACACCGTGGATGCAGGTGCACTCTGATTAGATTCGTTGCGTTGATTAAAATTTTTAAAAATTTTTGTACTTGAAATCAGATAAAAATATGTATTCGTATTATGAAAAGAGAGAAAGCGAAGATACCGAGTGCAAAAAGTGCAAGCAACGCGAACAGATCTATTAGTTGCGGTCGATTTGGACGTTTACGTGCTTTAAGCGCTTGTAATCATCATTCTGTCTTTATCGTTCATTGGACGTAAAATAAAAATAGAAGTATTGAAAAGTGCTGAAAGCGTACAAATTGATCGCAGCCATTGTTTCAAGCAAATGCATGGGAGAAATTGTAGATACATTTAGCTGCGTTCGCTTTGATGCTCACAGCGCTTGTGAGAAATATATCTATTATTCTTGTTTAATATTTAATAAACAAAACTAAAGCGTTGTGAGCCACCAAAACGAGTCTTGATGAGATATGCACAGAGTTGGATAGTAACTAGTTAAAATGTTAAAAGTTAATAACTTTTAACTTAACTTAATTAATTTTAAATGCATTAAATTTTAATTTAACTAAATTACTTTTAAACATTAACTTTTTAACTTTTTTTTTAAATTAAAAAATTTTTTATCTCTTTTAATATCTTAGAAAAATAATAAGATATAATAAGACTAAGGGCGTATAATCTAAATTCATATTTTAAGACCATCTTAAGTAATTTCTTAAGATGCTAATATAGCTCTCTGATTGATTTATATAGTAATGCCTTATGCTTATAAGTCTTAGTCCGGATCTACAATAGGTATTTTAAGCTTTAAGTCATAAGAAATTGACTAATTACACTCAAATATTCTTCTCGCATTCGATTGTAATTGATCAATTTCTTATGGCTTAAGATTACTTATTAAAAAGTAATCACTGATCTTGTATCTTCTTTATATGCTGGCTGTTTTTTAAAGTTATATAACTTGTATAGTTATATCGTTATGTGTTATATACTTATATCACATATAAATAAAATAATTAAAAATTTAATTTACTTAATAATCTATATTGTTATTTAATCTCATTTTAAGAAAAAGTAAGATTATGATCTAAATAATTTTAAAATAATTTTTTTCAAAATTAACTTTTTTTTAACTTAAATTAATTCAATATTGACTTAACTTACGTTAAGTTAATTTTTTATTCCTTCAACTTAACTTTATTAATTTTGTAAAACTATTAACTTTAACTTTATTCATTTAAAAAAAAGTTAATTTTGAAAAAATTAACTTACCGATCCTGAGTTATGCGAAATGAAAAGAGATTTGCAAACTTTTTTCCCTATTTAATGACGATTTCTATTAATATAGAATATTAACTTCAATTTTGACTCAACTTATTTTTTATCTTTTTTTAATTCTAAAGCCTTAAGAAATCAGTTCGAAATCTCGGACAGTAAAAGAATTAACAAATCTACACATTTGAATAATTTGGTCTCATATATAATCAATTATTTGCGTATCATATATAATCATTTATAGCGATTAATTAATACTTTTTTCATTTAAGATTTCTAGAATCGTGGACACAAAGTTTTATATTCGTTTCTATCAATGCTGGTTATTTTTAATCCTGATTCAATTATAATTCTTCTGTTTTTAGTATTAAGAATTAAAAAAGTAAAGAAAAAATTGAACCGAGAAAATTCAATGCATTAATAGAATGGCAGAGATGTGTATATTAATGTATGTAAATTAAACTGAGATTAAAATAGTCTATATTAATTAATAGAAACAATTTTTAACAACATTATTGCCGAATAAGGTCCGAAAATCTTCTTTTAAAAGAAAAATAAAATATCTTTTAATCATCTGTTGATATATTGTAATGACCGTAGAAATCTGTTCTCTTCCTCTGCTAAAAAAAAACGTCATATTTTTGAACGATTGTATGATCGTTCATTACACCTTTTACCTCATATCTCTCTCTCTCTCTCTCTCTCTCTCTCTCTCTTTCTCTCTTTTTCTCTCACTCAATCTCTTCACAATCGCGGACATGCCGTTTGCGTTTCAACTGCCACGCGCACAAGAAAAGTGCAGAGCTGGCATTTAACTTACAAGACTTCGACGGAGTGCAACGGACTGCTCTGGACCGAAACTCGGAGCAAACGAAATCAGACGAGATCTTTTCGCATGCGCAATCGTCACAACGAAGCGAAGAACCACGAAGACGTATTGCGAATGATTACGAATTTAACGTACTTGTCCGATGACTTCGTCGTCTACGACCCACGTGACCGTCACATATAAACACGGACACGCATATATGTGCATGCGTATACGGAATATGATGTGGAGCATATGTTGACGCAAGTTTACGCGTCGACGCTGAAAAAGTTGAATTCTTCGATTCGCGAGTAGGTACTTAAGCATCAAGATCTACCGAACGTGTGCACAGGATTTCTCTTCATCTTTTCCAGGGACAGACCCATTATACATAGAGATGGCGACATCCGAAAGCGACGCCGACTTTGAAAGCGCTGACGAGGAATTGAGTCGGGTCCTCGTTAAGAGAAACATCCGGGCGACAGTTTACCGAACGACAGTTGACTCCGAGTCAGATGATGATACTGAATATGTTCAACGCGCGCCTTGCGATATCACCAACTGGCAGAGCAGATCTGAGACTTTCCGAATGACGCCAGATGTGTTGACTGGTCGAAAGACCTTGGTCGATAATAAGAATGATAAGATAGATAGTAATGTCAAAGTTGAAAGTGATACATGTACTGCCAAATCGATTGATTATGTAGAAAACGCTTCTAACAAACGAGAGACTACATCTTCCCTTGAATCAAGAAAATTCTCATCAACCTCTACGATATCAGTAAAGGGCAAAGAATCTGTGATAGAGAGTAATAAGATCTTGGAATCAGATGTCATGTCTGAAGTAGAAGTTACTGAGTTGGATGACAAGAAAATTTTCCAAACAAGTAAGCAACAACAAGGTACTGCTCGTCAATTGGATACAAAAAAATTAGGAACTAGACTTACAAAAGATAAGATCGATGAACCTTGTGTCAATATAGCTACAGAACTAGAAGATGCAGCCAAGAATTCAAATAAGAAATCCTTACTGTTTCTGGGCAAAAATACAGAATGTAAATCAGAAGAAAAATCAAAAACTCAAATAACAGGTAATCAATTTAGACCATCAAGTGATTTGTCGGAAATAGACATGCCAGAAGAATTAAAGTCAAATAAAAAATTTAAAGAAGTTTTTCAGCCTGAAGGTTGGGAAGGACTTGGAGATGACATCGAGTTGCCTGATGAATTGACAGAAGAGAAATTACAGCCTATGTTACAGAGGCTTTCCTTGGCAGACAAAAAAGATAGCAAAGATGAAGATTCTTTAGGAAGCTGGGGCAGTTGGGGAAATTGGGGTGTAACTTCATTAATCAATACAGCTACCGCAAGTGTATCTACTCTAACTAATCATGTGTCTCAAGGACTTACACTTTTGGAAGGTACAATAGTACAGGATCCTACAGAATTGGAAAGGATAAAGCAGAATGCAGTTCCTGAAACTGATGGTATAATATTTAGTATAAATTCTATATAGCTATTATTTTTATATATTTATAACATTTTATTTTTGCACTGAATATATCAATCATATGAAAATAAACATAACGTATATAATTATATCTTTGCTAATTTATGTTAATAGGTGCACAGTCAGAGATTCAGGAACAAGAAAGTCGATCGTTCAGTTCGTTCGGATTTGGAAATTTGATATCAGGAGTATCTTCAATTACAAAATTGGTTGAATCCACCGGTAGCAAAGTTATGACGGGTGGTTTAGATACGTTGGAGGCTATCGGAAAGAAAACAATGGAGGTATTGCAAGAAGGTGATCCAGGGTTAAAGAAAAAAAGGGCCTTTTTTATGAATGAACCGGAGAAACCAAACTTATCGCAAATTCTCAGAGAAGCGAAGGAAAAAGCTGAAACGGAAGAGAAAACAATCGAGGAGCGCGAATTAGCGAGGAAAGTGCATTACGAGAGTTTGTTCGACGATTATCAGGGACTTGTTCACTTAGAAGCTCTGGAAATGTTATCAAAACAGAGCAATATAAAAATTCAACAATATTTAATTGAGCTAGATACGAACGACTTAACGTCTGTGCAAGAAACATTAGAAGAAATCAAGGAACTTTGTGATTTAGGTGATGAAGATGACGATGAGAATAAAAATGATAAAGATTTGAAAAGCAGATTAAAGAACGCTTGTCACGATCTTGGTGTTGATATTACTTATGAAAAATTATATGATGTAAGAAAATATATATTTATCAAAATCAAAAGACTTCTTTCATCATTATGACGAAAACAATTCTGTATTTTCAGGTTTGGACAGAAACGGAAAATTATCTTGCATCATCCACGCGTACAAAACAGGAAATCTTTCAGAATGCTATATCGACATTGGCACAGTTTACAGCACTCTCCGTAGAGAGATTTCATAAGACGGCAGAATTGTTGTTAGTCAAAGAACGTCGCAGTACAGTGAACGAAGCAGATGCCTTGGTACAACTCACCAATATTCTATCCAATCAGATTAGCTTACTAGCCAATTCATTTTGCGATACATTACATCGATTTGCCGAGACTACGAAAAAATCAGACATCAATGAGAATATAACAACAATTTTCTTAGAAGTAAGTAATTGGTTGAATAATTCAAGTATCATGATGATTGTAATATTAAAAACTCTTTTTTCACACAGGCTGCAAATGCAAATTCATATATTCAAGATGCCTTTAGACTTCTTATTCCTATTCTACAAGTTGGTGCAATCTAATGAATAACTATATTTAAAATATATTTAAAAAACACTTTTATACTTTATATTTAACGGTATCGTCTAGATTAAATACAATTTCCAAGAAGCATAAAGCATAATATTACCTTTTTTCCCGTTTTGTAAACATTGTCCATTTTATCTTTCATTTATTCGAGAAAGGGACCAATATTTATTGTTAATTCCATTAACAATATATTATTTACAGCTTTT